CTCCTAAATCACTCGTACGCACAACTTAAGAACAAATCTGTGTACCAACGGTTCTTGCATGAGGCCCAATGTTTCTACCTGTTGTTCAAATCACTTCCTGTTGTAAACATGGTTCTTCCTGACAGCTGTAGTTTTGTTGCTGCAGGTGTTAAAGGTGTGATCTGTGTCCACGCCTGGTTTCAGTGCAGCCTGAGGCTGTGCTGCTGCTCAGCTGACTGACAAACACCTGCAGCAGCTGGAAACATGCTGTTTCCATAGAGATACACCTCCATCACCAGATAATCAGACTGTGTGTGTGTGTGTAGGGGGGGTCACTTCCTGTAGCTCTGACATCACTTCCACTTCATCACATTAACCTTTGACCTTACACTACTGAAGTCCACCTCTGGGATTTAGGTTTTTAAACCAGAGTGGTTCCTCCTGCAGGAGACCACACACACACACACACACACACACACACACAGACACACACACACACACACACACACAGACACACACACACACACACACACACAGACACACACACACACACACACAGGATCAGGTTTAGGGATAAAGTCTGTCCTGTTCCTGCTGTGAGTTGTGAACTGAAGGTGTTCTGTGGCTGCTGTCCTTCAGGTGGGTTCTGTATGAGAAACCAAACTTTAAGGGGGAGAAGGTGGCTCTGGACGAGGGAGACATCGAGCTCACCTGTCCCTTCAGCCCACCTGAGGAGGAGGAGGAGGAGCAGAGACCAGCTGGCAGGTTCATCATCGGCTCTGTGCGCAGAGCAGTCAGGGTGAGACTGAAGCTTTTAGCTCCACCTGCTGGACAAACATCTCCTGTTCACTCAGTGGGAACAAATCCTTCAGTTTCTCCTGTAAACCTTTCATTATTTCATCTTTCTCTTATCAGTTCATGTTATAAAACCTTGTTTTATATCAGACAAATCTATTATTTTTCAAACCTTTGAACAGATTTAACTTAATGTTTATGAAGTTTTCAGATTAAAATCCTCCAAATCAAAGTTTTTCAAATCAATAAAATCAGTTTGTTAAAAATGTAATAATATATTTTTCTTTAATAATTAAACCTTTTAAAGTTTTATAGTTTGACTCTAACATGTTCTTATTGTTTTGTGCACATATTTTAGTAACATTTAGTTAAATGAAGCAAACGTGAGCTGGTCCATCAGAACAACAGGCTCCTCCTGAAGACTTCAGCTTCACACTAATGAACTAATAAAGTTTCTTCTCCCACACGTCTTTATCTGTTTGAACAGTTTAAAAACATGGTTTTATTTCAGATTATAATCCAGCCTAAAAGAGTTCTGATGAGGACTTAATTAGACTGGTGTTCAGAAGAGAAGAGTTTGTGTCTCTGTCCATCCTCAGGACTACAGCGTCCCTGAAATCTGTCTGTTCCCTGAGGAGAACGCTGAGGGGAAGAAGGTTGTGTTCAGGGACACGTCAGAAGATGCCAGGATCTTTGGGTTCCCCATCAGAGCCAACTCCATCATCGTTAATGCTGGGCTGTGAGTGAAGCTGCTTCAACACAACTGCTTCAAACCTGCTTTTACTCACGGGCGGTCTTTTACCTGCAGCTGGCTGGTTTTCTCTCAGCCCTTCTTCCAAGGTGTGCCACGGATCCTGGAGGTGGGGGGCTATGCTAACCCTGCAGCCTGGGGGGTGGAGCAGCCCTTTGTAGCTTCACTGCATCCTCTAAAAGTGGTGAGGTTTTRACTAAAGCAAAAACCTCCCAGTTTGAGCTGTTTTTATCTGAAACCAAGAGTCCTGACCAGTTTTCTTCTCTGCCAGGGAGAACCACGAGTGGAGAACCTGAGTGAACCAAAGGTGAGCTCAAACAGAACCATCAGAACTTTTAGTTCCTCCTGACTCTTCCTGTCTGTCCTCAGGTGGAGATCTATGAAAAGCCGTACTTTACTGGGAAAAGTCGAACCATCAGCACCAACATGAGGGACTTCATGAGCAGAAGCCACCAGCAGCAGAAGGTCTTCATGTTCAGTGTTGGTTCCCTTAAAGTTCTGGGAGGAATGTGAGTCGTGTGGTTCTGCTCACTTCCAAACTAATCCTGGTTCAGATTCAGACCTGCAGTCTGACCTGCTCTGTCTGCTTCTTCAGCTGGGTGGGCTACGAGAAGGAGGGCTTCCGAGGTCACCAGTACCTGCTGGAAGAGGGAGAGTACCACGACTGGAGGGTGTGGGGGGGCTGCAACTCTGAGCTGCGCTCAGTCAGGATCATCCGTGCAGTAAGTCCATGTTTCAACAAAGCAGGTTTAAATGTGACTCAGCAGCTTTTAATGTGACTCAGCAGGTTTAAATGTGACTCAGCAGCTTTTAATGTGACTCAGCAGGTTTTAATGTGACTCAGCAGCTTTTAATGTGACTCAGCAGCTTTTAATGTGACTCAGCAGCTTTTAATGTGACTCAGCAGCTTTTAATGTGACGCAGCAGCTTTTAATGTGACGCAGCAGCTTTTAATGTGACGCAGCAGCTTTTAATGTGACGCAGCAGTTTTTATTGTGATGCGGCAGTTTTTATTGTGACGCGGCAGTTTTTATTGTGACGCAGCAGTTTTTAATGTGACACAGCAGTCTGTATTGTGACACAGCAGTTTTTATTGTGACGCAGCAGTTTTTATTGTGACACAGCAGTTTTATTGTGACGCAGCAGTTTTTATTGTGACGCAGCAGTTTTTATTGTGACACAGCAGTCTGTATTGTGACACAGCAGTTTTTATTGTGACACAGCAGTTTTTATTGTGACACAGCAGTTTTATTGTGACGCAGCAGTTTTGACACCGTCACCTTTAACTCACTGGCTGGTGCCAGCGTGCTGGTGAGCTCATCTTGCTGCTGCTTTTCAGGACCTGTCAGACCCACAGATGGTGATGGTGGAGCAGCCGGAGGAAGAGGAAGGTGTGACAGAGGAGAACACCTTTGAGGTGACTGAAGCCATTCCTGATGTGGAGCCGTTTGGCTTCAAAACATCAACCCGCTCTATCCACGTGCTGAGTGGGGCGTAAGTTCTGTTTCTGCTGCTTCAGTCAAGGAGGTGCAGGTGTGTCAGAGCTGTCAGGTAACAGCTGCCCCTCTTCTTCCCAGGTGGGTAGCTTACTCCCATGTGGACTTCTCTGGGAACCAGTACATTTTGGAGAAAGGCTTTTACAACAGCTGTGCTGACTGGGGTTCACAGGACACTAAGATCTGCTCAGTCCAGCCGATCTTACTGGTGAGAACCAATCAGAACCTCAGAGGAACAGTCAGGGAGTTCTCAGGTAGTTTATCACTCTGTTGTGTTTCAGGCTTTAGCTGACAGCTCCAGCTGCACACATCAGGTGAGAGCTTTATTCTCTGCATCGAGCCCTTTTCATCTAATATTTATTTTTATATCGTAGCAGTCTGATGAAACAAAGGTTCTTTAAAAGAATGGACCGTACCATAAGGAACATTGGTTCCTGTTCTCAGAGGTAAACTGAAGCTCAAACTGTGTCTTCATCAGATCATCCTGTACTCTGAGCCGGACTTCCAGGGACAACAGGTTGTCCTTCAGCAGAACCAGGAGGTACTGACGGATGGCTTCATCACCAGGTCATGTCGAGTGGTGAGAGGAAGGTGAGCAGACTGAGAACATGTTCTTGTGTCTGATAGGAAGGAGATTTAATGCTGAGTCATGTTCTATGTTCCAGCTGGGTTCTATGTGAGAACCAACAGTTCTGTGGGAACACCTACGTCCTGTCTGAAGATGATTACCCCAGTCTGAGCAGCATGGGCTGTCCCAGCAGCTGCTGCATCCGCTCTGTGAAGCTGGTTCCCATGGTGAGGACCCCCGTGCTGTCTGTGGTTCTGAACCTCGTGTGTGTGATTCTAAACCGTGTGTGTGTGTGTGTGTGTGTGTGTGTGTGTGTGTGTGTGTGTGTGTGTGCAGATGTTCTCTGTTCCCTCCATCTCTCTGTTCAGCCTTGAAGGTCTGCAGGGTCGGGAGATCACCGCTGAGTCCGAGGTCCTCAGTCTGGTCCAGGAGGGCTTCAACAACCACATCCTGTCTGTCAGGGTCCACAGTGGCTGGTCAGTGTGTGTGTGTGTGTGTCTGTGTGTGTCTGGGTGGACGGGTTTTTCCTACAACGTGGAATATTTTTTCCAAAAAAAAGCAGCCAGGTGGGGTCCGAAGTGTATCGTGGGGACCACTGTCAGGTCCCCACGGGTCCAAA